TATGTGGAGGAGGAAGCTCACAGGGACAGACAGATGCTGAAGGATAAAGACGTGCAGCTGAGATCTATCAACTGCTCCGACACCGACCCACATCCTCATGCACGCACACACGCGCGCACACGCACAGTCCTGTACCACCCTCGGGTGTGAATTTCACTCCCACCGGGGTGCATGTTTTCCTGTCTTAAGTCTTTGTATTGCCACCACCGTGGGTGTCTGTGTGTGTGTGTGTGTGTGTGTGTGTGTGTGTGTGTGTGTGTGTGTGCCCGTCCTTCACCTTAACCGCGCCGCGCGTGCTGTTAACCATGCACTCAGCTGTAATTGCTTATGTTTGCAGAGCTGTACCTGCCGCGTGAAAGTTATGCTTCATTGTGTGTGTGCGTGTGCGTGTGTGTGTGCGTGTGTGTGGGCGTGTGTGTGTGCGCGCGCGCGTATATTTATAGTACATAATGTGTGTGTGTGTGTGTGGCGAGGTCTGGCAGCTGGAGCAGACCGTATAGCCGGAGTCACCGGGGAGAGAGAGGATGCGGTTGTGAAGAAGAGTTGAAGGTCGGTGCAGTGAATGAGGTCAGCGTGAGTAAATAAGCCCTAATACACACCGACAGAGCAGCTATGGGTGTGTATGAAGCATGCAAATAGCATCGTCCTGTTCTTCCCTCCACTCGCGCATCGCCTCATGAAAGTACATTGAGTTATTTATTCAGCGCTATGGCAGACCGGATGTAGGTGGTAGCCTATATGGCTCTGCCGTTTTTAAGTCACCAGCCAGTTTCCCCGACACAGATTCCCCAGACAGAGCAGAAGGTTTGTTTTCCCATGCCAGCTCCACCTTTGAACTGCTGTTGTCTCTTAAACCGGTTCGTCTTCCTCCAATTTAGCTCCGTCATCGGCCCTGCCAAGGTCTCCAGAGGTCAGCGCGACGGAGACGGCTCCGTCTCTGCGTTTTTCCTCCTTCTTCTTCTTCTTCTTTCCGACCATCTCTGTGAAAACCTCCCCGCTTGCATTTTGTTTCTAGTTTGGATCTCGCAACCTGCAATTACATTTCTCCTTGAAAGCATGCTTGTAATTTTGCGTTGCAGAGGAAATGCCCGCACTTTTTGTGTTTACTCGCAGATTATCGTTCAGCCTGCAGGCCCGCCTCGAGCTCCTGTAAGATCACTCAGCTCCTCTGCCGAGGGTACCCTTGAGCAAGACACTAAAGCCTTGCCAGCTTCAGGTCTGCCGCTCGTGCGGACCTGACTTTTCTATCGTGTTTGCCCCCCTCCATATTCTCTCCTCTATCTCTGTCTCACTGTCTTTTCCTTTCTCTCCCTGGCTGTGTGGGAACAGCAGGAGGTGTTCATGGCGCATTGAGTTTTTCCTCGCTATCTTGTTTTTGAAATGAAATATTTTCAATGAAAAGTATTAAAGGTATCCTCTTCTCTTTGTCTCTCTCTGTTTGGTGTCTGGAGCTGTGTTGTATTGCAGCTACAGTTTGAGGAACTCGTGGATTTCTACAACGAAGCATTGCGGGCAGGATTAATTTCCTATCATGTGGCCACTGCTGAGACGGTAGAATTGCAATGTCTGAAAAATTGCACTTTAATATATTTCGGGGACTCTAACATGCAGGTTAAAAACGAAAGAATGGTCAAAATCAAAAAAGGCCAAGATATCCAGTTTTTTTAGCAGTTGTCAAACTCCGACGCTGGATCAATGACCTCCTAAATGCCCACTTCACTATGATGTCATCTTCTTTTTTAATTAAGAAAGTTCTAACTGTTTTTACAGGCTGATTAATATTTAACAAGTATGAACTGTATGCGTAAAACTGGCGGAGTGCTCCTTAGGACATTTATAGGTTTATGTCTCAATTCAGCAGAATAGTGCCTGCGTACGCAATGTAACACGTTTGCTCTCAGGTGCGGCTGTGGAAAGAGATACAATCATGAAGTGTGGGATTGATAGAGTATGTATGATTATTTGGGTTAATGGCAGTGGCCTGGCAGAGTACACCATCACTCAGTGCAGTGGTTTCGTGCACTACTTTCACCACATGGGGGCAGTACAGTCACATTTGAACCATTCCCCATCACATACATGTTCTTGTGCGTGCGTAAAAAGTCTAAAGGTGAACCAGTGTCAGTGTTCTTTCGTCAGTGTACACACATTGGTGTGTGGCCCTAAGTGGGGCCTGTTACCCGGTTCGCGGGGAAGGGAGGGGGGGGTAGACATCCTCCCACACAGAGAGTTCTTTTTGTTTAGACTGCTCTGCAGACTTATGTGGTGAGTCCAGTCCACTGATCATGCGTGACATCAATCCTGTCTAGGAAGTATTTTTCGTAGCAACCTTTTTCAAAAAATATGCATGTCACTCTAGTGTAAAATCCTACTTTATTCTTTTTTAAACATTGTCATATCGTCTATTATGAGCTCATGTTGTACCTTGAGGTATATCTCATATTTAGTAAAGTTTAAATACTCCCATAAGGACTTATAGCGTTCCTGTGACATGTGTATAATATCCTTATACAAGTCCAGGTGGATCTCTTCAATACAATCCTCTTGCAGTGCCACATGTGATGCCCACTACATGCGTTGAGGGCGCTCTTGCACTTCCATCACGGCGTTGAGCAGAGGGGGGCGCACTTTGGTGAGTGTCTAGAGAGGTGTGTGTGTGTGTGTGGGGGGGGG